GCTAATTCGCGAGCTCTCTCACCATCTGGCCAGCACCGATGACACCCAATCGCTTCACTCCTCCCGTTGCAGAAGCAACTCTGGGAGTAGAGCTGAAGGTCCGAAGCTGCCCGGGAAGCTTGGCCACCGCCCGTACGCGAGCCATTGAAGTCGCCATGGTTATCAAGGTGAGCGAAACGTCAGTGTGCAGGGATTACGATCTCGGTGATATTCGAGTAAGCTCCGTTGTGGCCGCGTGAGGGATTGAATGGAAGTTCGCGAGGAACAAGTGAGCTGGATACAATAAGTGATAAGAGGAATAAAGCTCTACGAGTCTGGATTGAAGTGCTGTTAAGATTGAAGTACAGAACGGAAGTCCGTGGACAGATGTCGTTCCTTGTCCAAGGCCATGATGCTGTCCATGACCCGAGGTTAACCGCGGCCCCCTAACAAGCCCCAAAGCCCAGAGCTAAGGCAGGTACCTTTCGGTCCGCGCGCCACACCTGGTCTTTATCTAATCTTCCACTATCGATAACATGAAATGTGGGACCAATTAACGCAACTTTCTGTTGAGACGCGCTGCATCGCGCGCCAGGCGCGTCGCTAGGTGAACCGGGGCAGATCAGTCCCTCCAAGGCTTTTCTATCATCGTCACAATTGGCGTGCGGATGGAGACACCACCAAGCCTCAATTACAATCTACCACTTTCTTGATTCTCGCCAGAACCGACAAGATGGAGTTGCCGGACGGGTCAACAGATGTTGTCCACCCTGAAGTTCGTGCGCACATCAACAGTCTTGTGTCCGCGGTACGTTTTGGCCAGCTGAGAACTCCCAAAAATCGTTGTACATTGACTCTAACATGGAATTAGCTCGGTGGCACCAGCGCCGACGACGATGGAAGATACAGACTTGGTGACGACGCCGTTCAAGTTCTCCGCGATCTCAAGAAATGGATTCGGCACTACGACGAAAAGACCAATCGCATGGATGTAGCCCGATGCATTGCAGATTCCAACATCGTGGAGGGCGACCTCCTTCAGATCCTCGCGAGCTGGCCCGAGAACGATACCAACAACACGTTCAAAGCACGCATAGCTCTGGCCTGCTTCGAGATCATGGTGCCCCTCACTTGGCCCATGGAAAGAGATGCCGAACGAATGACGGTCAATCACCATCGCCACATGCCTGTTCTCGAGCTGGCGCAAGTGGGATACAAGCGGGCCATCATCAACTTTGACGGCGCTCAAGTTCTCAATACAGCCATCCGAGCAGCTCTACCATCTATGGCAATTTCCATTGGCGAACGATCAGCTCGTGACCAGGGCATCATCAAGCTTGTGCTTTTCTTCCTCCGCAACATCGCCATGATTACCCCTCCTGCGGGTGTACAATACGATGGCGATGAGACGCAGATATCCCGCTCCACGACGATAGACGCATTTTCGTTTCAAGACATCTTCGCGGTGCTACTGATGATTGCTTCGAACATGGGCGAAGACTTCCGTACCGAGGACGTGATTCTCATGGAAGTCATTTACCACCTGGTGAAACAGGTCGAAGTCAAGAAGCTATTCATGAACGAACAGCAATTACACAAGACGAAGGCTAAAGAGCTCACCTCAATGATGAAGAAGGAGAGCGCGATGCGCAGTGCATTTAACCGCAAGGCGCCCACTCGTCACAACCGTTTCGGCACCATGGTATGGATGCAGCGCGAAGATGGCCGGGTATCAACAATCACTGGTCAGGATGCGCTCGCAGACAGCGCTACGCGGCAAAAGAAACTGGACGAGTCCAAAACGTTTAAGCCACCGCGACGGGCCAAGAAGGAAGAGCTGGAGTCCAAGGACCTCGGTGCCCCAGTCAAGCTCAATGCAAGGGCTAACGACCAGCTCCGAAGCTTTGTCGAAGATTTCCTGGATGCTGGTTTCAACCCTTTATTCGTGCATGTTCGCAAGTCCTTGGACCGGGAGGCGCCCCATGTTCTGTCTTACCATCGTCGACAGTACATGTACCTTGTCGCCTGGTTTCTGGAGGCGGAGCGAACTCGTAGAAAGTCAAAACGAGACTCGAAGAAGGCAGGCGCCCCCGAAGAGGTCAGCAGCTTCAATCTTGTGGCTGGTGTGCTCGATCAAGCAATGTTCATCACTCTCACAAAAACCATGCACGACTCTTGGGAACAAAAGGATTGGCCTACCCTGACAGCTGCGATGCGGTGTTTCACGCAGATTCTGCTCACGGTCCAAGAAATGACAGAGTCAGGAAACGAAGACGACGAGGAGATTGCGGAAAACACGCTGAGTCGTCTCTTCTACGAAGACTCCACACACGATTTGATTGCCAATGTCGTCAGACAATACAAGGAACAAGGCTTTGAGTATCTCGACACCGCCACAGAGCTGGTGCATCACTTCTTGCGAATCTTGGAGGCCTACTCAAAACAAAACGTCGACATGCAAGTCCGGTCTCGTAAACGGACTCGGCGAAAGAAGAAAGCCGAGAAAGAGGCAGGTTTCGATACAGTTGACGATGAGGAGAACGATGAGTCCGCCAACGACGAGGCAAACGCTGAAAAGACGTCCAAAGAGCGCAAGTTCGACTTCCATCGGTTCACATCGCGCTTTGCCCCCCAAGGTGTGGTCGATACTTTTGTCGCCTTTACCAAATTTTACAAGGATCTCGATGACTCTCAGCTGAAGCGCGCTCATCGGTACTTCTATCGCATAGCCTTCAAACAGGAGATGAGCGTGATGCTCTTCCGCGTTGATATTGTCCATCTGTTCTACAACATGATCAAGGGGCCGGAACCGCTCGACAAGAACTCCACTATGTACAAGGAGTGGGAAGAATTAACCAAGCAAATCCTCAGAAAGTGCACGCGCAAGATTGAGCAGCGGCCCGAACTCATAATTGAGATGCTATTCTCCAAGATTAGCAGCACCGCGTTTTACCTGGAATATGGCTATGAGAAACAAACCATTTCGACATCGACACCTCGGCCCGCTGCAGAACTCGAGTTCAAGAACACTGCGGATCTGGACCGGCAAATCGCCATCGTCGTCGGCGCTCTGCTGGACAAAAATCAACAAGATCATATTTCGTGGGTCAAAAAAGTTCTTGACACTGCGGAAAAGGAGCGTGCTGCCTGGGAGGCGGCGGATTCCCTCATACCATCGGTCGAGGGCACCGACGAGGGCGCACAAGTGGATAGACATCCTTTCAGTGAGTTCTCTCAAGGCAATCACACTGGTTGATATCTCTAACATGTACCAGCTGTACGACCGGACAATGATGCCCGCAAGACTGCTATATTCAAGAATTCTCACCTGCGTCTACTCATGAAGCTTGTTGGTTTTGAGAGGCTAGCACCGACTATCGAGGAGACGCCCCAGTCCGTATGGATCCTGCCACCAGATCTGAGTGCCAGTCTCCTTCGTGTGTATATTAAGCATATCAATGATGCCGAGTTTGATCCGCCCGCCTTTGATGGTGCCAGCGCAGAGGACCAGCTTCGCCGCAAGAAAGCGGTCCGAAAGCGAGCCGAGTACGATGACGATGACGACGATCTCGATGACGGTTTCCTCTTTGAACCTCTGGGCCCTACCGTCCACAAAGCCATTGACGACCCTGCTTCCAAAAAGACGAAGCGGAGGAGGCGTAGAAAAGACAGCGAAGATGAGGAGGCGCCGAACGATTCCGAGTTGGAAGAAAAGGCCCAGAAGCGCAGGGAGCGGGAGAGAGAAAAGGCGAGAAAGATCAAGAGCGAAGCGTATGTTCACGCTAGCGATGACGACACGGACGAGGAGTACGACCGCGAGTTCTTCCAACGAGAAGAGGCACAACGCTCGCGTTTGGCTCGTATCGTGGAGAAGATTGCGATATCGGAGCCGACCAAGAGACCAGCAGCGGTGCTGCTCGACGATAGCGACGACAATGACGATGATGTGCTCGCTGTGACAAGGGGCACTCAGTCTAGCCGGCCTAGTGCCGATGTTGATATGGATGCCGATAGCGATGGCGAGCAGAACGGAGACAACGCTACGCCGTTGAGCTCCAGTCCGTCTTCCTCTCAGGGGAAGGGATCTCGGAAACGGAGACGCATCACTCCTGAGGCAGCTACTATTGAAGAGGAGGCGAAGGCTCCAGAGAAAGCAGATGCCGATTCTGATGACGAAGATGCGCCGGTACCTACAGCACGCTCACGGCAGCGTACGAGGGGAGGTTTCGTAATGGAGAGTAGTGACGAGGAATAATGAAGATAAGCTCTGGGCGTTTGGGTAAATAGGTTTTGGTGGTTCAAGGATGCATAGCGTAGGAAGGTATCTTGGCGATAATATCAAGTTGTTTTTCCGTCTTCACACCGTCTCTGGGGATTATTCAGCTCTCTTGATCCCCCTCTGTTCAACGTCGTGCGAGTGATTGTAGATGACCTAGCGATGGAAAACCTGGTTTGCTCTTTAGCGGTCGGGTGACTTGGGTTACTAACCCTATATACATGTGTTTGTCAACAAGCAGCGCTTGACTGAGGACTTGTGTCTATCAAGTCTGCATTGTGGAGCTCGGCGAGGCTAGCTGAGGTGCATGCCCCCTTCATTGTTTGACGGCAAGTCCATGTCCCGACTGTTGGGCTCAGGCCTCTACTACGAAGGCTCAGCTTTACAATCAGGCAGGTGAGCTTTGGACTGAGTTCGGGATTTATCACATTCCCTCTCCAAAGTATGTGAGAAATGTCCATATCGAACCTGGGCAAAGACTTGGTGTGTCCTAGAGATTCTCCAAAGGAAGGAACCTTGACAACAGCTTGCGCTATTACCAAGACGACTTGCGATTCATAAAAACGTGGCTTTCGAGCGCCTGATTTTGAACGAATGCAAATACTAAAGTAGCTATATTCTCAGAACATGCCTTGTGTCGTATACATCGGCATCACATTGGTATCATCATACAGAAGTAAACAATATACAAAATAAGAAACATTAGAAACCATCCGCTCCACTCCTCCTCAAGACTGAACCGCAACTACTTCATGTCCACGGGGGGAGTGACGACAATGGTATCCGGACTCGCTCCCGCAAAATCAACATCCGGCGGCGACAGCATCATTCCCGCATCGCCGTCGTCCAGCTGTAACGACTTCTTTGGCGTCTCGGACGCCTCGCGGATCTGGCTTAGTCGCCACTTAGTCGCCTCAACCTGCGGAGTAGAAGGCAGCACCGGTGCCGCCGATATTGCCACCCCTTGACCTGACCCCGTCGCCGCCGTGGAAGCCGACGAGTCGGATTGCACAACGACACCCTGCAGAGGCACCGTTTCCGGCCTCTGCTGCTGCCGGGCGACGATGTCTTGTAACCTGGCGTCGAAGGAAAGGAGATTCGCGGCCAGGCCCCTGACGCCGTCGCCGATGAGCTCCGGGTGGTCCCAGGCTACGAGGCCTGGACGTCCTCCCGGTATTGGTACGCGACGGATGTGGACGGCGTTGTACGAGACGTTGGCCCAGGCGGGGCAGACGTACGGATTCGGGGCAGGCTGCGGCGAGACGGTATCGACGACATCGTTTCGGGGTTGCGTCTGGGCTTCTAGGTCGTCGTCCGCGATTCGTCGCCCGCCGGATACTTCCACGGCCTCTCCGGCTCCCGAGAAAACTGTAATGGCCACGTTGGGTTTCTTGGTCGGCTTTGAAAGCGGCGGTGTCGTCTCGTGGTGCGTCAGACAGCGCGCCCAGAGGCGCATCGCCGCCTCTGGCCCGGGGAGCCAGGCCGTCTGGGTGAAGGTGATGATCTCGGCAGCCGAGAACTCCTTCTTGGCCCCGAGGACGCGGATGACTTTGAGGACGAGGGCAAGGAGGCCCACGGGGGAGTCACACAGCGCAAAGGACGTTGTGTTTGGCTCCACTAGAGTACTGCCTGCGCCGGCCTGGAGTGAAGTAGGAAGAGAGCGCCTCCCTCCGGCTAAGATGTGGCTGGCGTGGGTTTCCTCGTCGAGGGAGCGGAGGTCCTCGCTCTGGTAGCCTAGGATGGGCGCGTGGAAGAATTTAGCGAGGGACCACTTCATCCACTCGAGGGGTGCGTCCTTGAGCGTCGGCGCCGCGAGGGACGGGCTGATGAAGTGTGCGCCGAGGCAGCTGCTGGGGTGGTGGCGGGCTAGGTTGTCCGCGAGCTTCCAGTCGATTTGCGCGGGGCTGGAGGCCGCGGATGCGGTGTTGGAGACGAGGTAGTGCGGGTACGAGAGGCGTGTCATGAGCGTGTTGAGGAGGTCGGTTGTCGTCGGGATGACAGAGGCGTCGTTGGAGGGGAGGGCATCGCTGAAGCCGAGGCCGGGGAGGGAGGGGATGACGACGTGGAAGGGCTGTTGCTGCTGCTCCCCGTCTGTGGTTGATGATCCGGGTTCGGTGAGCGGCTGGATGAGGTGGCCGAGGGAGAGGTTCGTGAATGGGAATGGGGGTATCAGGAGGAGGGGGATGGCGTTGCTGTGCGAGGATCTGACGTGGATGAAGTGAAGACGAACGGGCGAGGATGAACCTGGCGGGGTGATGGCTGTGCGGAACTGGGGTAGTTGATTGTTGAAGGCAGTTTCTTGTTCTCGCCAGTCGTACTTTTCGAGCCTGCGATGGGTTAGAAGACTCTCTATATGAGTCAATGCCTCTTCCTCCGTCAAACTGATCACTTGGACGGGATCAAGTAAGACTTCGACTTACCAAAAGTCAATGAGCGGTTCGATTCGAGACTTTGGCTCCCACCAGTCCCGAGACTTGTTGGGTTCTGAGGGCTCATGAGGAAGTCTCGTGAGCTCCAGTTTCTGTTTAGTAAGATCGAGATATTTGCTGGACACCTTTCATTCGAACAACAACTTCATGTTAGCCGGGAAAGCTCGACACCCTTCATCCTCATACCCAAACCAGCCCTCTTTTCACCTCAGCCTCTGGGAGTCCTCACATGTATGCGGTAAGGACTGATCTCATCTCCCGCCAGGCCAGCGGCGCCCGAGTCGTGAGTGTTGGCCATGTTAAGAGTCAATTGGCATCATACGCGCGTAAGTGTGCCGGCGGGACTCATATGAAAATATTAAAACCGCCTTCGCCCAGTATTGAGCGGAAACACCGGAAAGTAAACAAGTTGCAACAGCAACAGCACACGGGGAGGGTCTTATTGAGTAATCGTAGCCAGAAACCAGGAATAGCGGGTGCAAGTAAGGCTAGACGGGGAAATCCATCAACAAGGTTAAGCGAGCCGAAACTATTTAATACAACCTTCTCTTAAGCCTGAGAAACAAAATCCCATCCTGCATTGTCTCATTACCTACCTACTAATGGTCCGGGACTTTGATAAAGTGCCATGTCCTGGTGGTCCACCGTCTTTGCAACCGAAGAGAGAGACCGCACTTCCATGTCGTTCGAGGTGTGGCGTTGTGGCTTGAACTCTCCTCCTTGCTTCCCAGGCGGCCTCTGAATGGGCGATCTGGGCAGCGGGAGGGGTCTAGAACCGTAGAACAGGTACGCGCTGGGCAAGCTTGTGGCGGTGCGTACGAATCCCTGGACAAGCTCGGAAATGATCACCGCTTTTTGCTAGATTGTGCCAGGTACAGAGTTGCATCAGTCGCCAGGTTTGGGCCGTCTGCCAACACACTCATGGGCGAAGGGCCCGTTATAACGGCTCATTGGTCATGCTAAAGTCCTCATTCCCTGCTCATTGGAATGGCGCTCTCGCCACGTCAAGCCACACCTTTCAACTTGACAACCGCGTGCCGCCATGCCGCCTCCCGTCGATGTTCTCAGAGCATTCAACGGAGTTGAGTCACGGATACTTCGGTTCCTTCTGGTCTTGTTGGCACTTTGAAATCACACACCGAGTGAAAGATGATTGGATAGATTGTAACTCCCACCGCCTGCCAATGCCTGTTCAATCCCGCTTCAACTACACACGCGTCGTTTGCCACGGCTCACTACCTTGACGCGATCTCGGTACCTGATTCCTGTCCTGACGCCGCCCTCTTGATCTATGGCGCGATTAGCACCCTCCTGAACTCGCGACCTCATCTTCTACCGATCTGTTCCTCCTTCACCGACCCTTTGCTACGCAAGGATCGACATTCGCTATTGTGGTATGACTGCTTCTGTGACGGGCCTTCAGCCTGCAGTAGTGTTCCTATCGTGCTTTGGCATCTTCCCCTGAGCCTCGTCTTCGGGTGTCAAATGATCTAACCAAGGCCCTCGCGGCCCCGCATCAGAGGACCAGACAAAGATGTTGGAAAACCTCCCCTCTGTAAGCCTCATCGCGTTATCATCCTGGACGCTGACTGGCTGCTGGCGGTGTACCTCCAGGGCCTCGCAGGTTCATAGCACCGATTCGGGACACGATATTGCTTCCCACAGCATCGACGGCTCCCCTGGGCGATGCCAGACTTGGTCCTTGAGGTGCAGTCTCTTGGACCCTGAACAGCTTGATCGCTGTACCATTCCAAATTCCAACTGTGCCCTTCGAGATTTGAATTTCGCTACTAAAAACGAAGCCCCACAACAGCGATTCGTACCATCCTAGTGAGAGCTGCGACCACTCGAAGGAGTGCACCCGTGGTGGTGTTGGGTCAACTCCCACCAACTTGATTTCTTGGATCTTTAAAAGTGTCTCTCGGTTTGCAGACTCTCCTGCAAGAGCTTGCCTGGGCAACAGAGCTGTCACCTGCTGAATCACGGTAAGAATGGTGTGAAGAGGCAGTTCTGGTAACCAGCTTTCAATCCAATTGGCTGTTGGCTCAAAGCCGCCGGATTGTGACTGTCCGCTTGCAGAATAGCCACCCAGACTTGTGGTGCTGTTTTGCCTGGAGAAGTTGCTCATGCCGGCAGGCATCTTGCCTCTGGCCTTTTCTGACATACCCCGGAGTTGTGTTGGAACGGCGTCTTCCACCACTGATGCTTGTGACGATGCCACAGATGGGTTCTCGCTGGTGGTTGACTGGGCTGGCGTTGGGCGATGGTCCTCGTCCTCGCTATCGTCCTCGTCATCACCAATCGCGAACGTACCGTCCTCTTCCGGAACATCACTTAACGTCGGAGGTCGAGGATGAGATGTCGTTGGGCTTCGGATACTTTCTGCCGAGCTCCTCACAGAACTTGGCTCGAGCCCATCACCATTGGCTGCTGATTCTTTGCGGCGACGGTTTCGTCTCTCGATCTCCTCCTGACCACTCTCCAGGGTGAACGTCCGTAATGCTTCTATCCGCTTCTTATTGCGCAGGATTGCGAAAACGAGCTCGGGGTTCTCTGTTTAGACGTTAGTATAATGTTTTCCACAAGATCCGGGTAGCCAGGAGATTGCCAGCATTGCATTTCCCAGCTGACATAGAGGCATACTTTGGTAGTTGTGTTCGACAATGGAATTTATCGACTCCAATAGTGACCTTAATAAATCGTGATTGCTGTCGTTTGCGAGGAGGAAGGAAGGTGAGGACATGGACGAAAATAGTTGCAGGAGCTTTGAGCCAGATGCCGAGCTCAGCCCCTCTAAATAGGGGGCAATGTTATTGATGACAGCCATGAGAGCCGGGTATATAGCTGTCAGTCTGCCTTGACTCGTGGTGATGAGATTGTAGATGGACTTGGTTTTATTAGCTGAGATCGACACAATTGCAGCAGAATCTCTCTTACGTGTATCAGGAAGTCCGCATGAGTGCCACTAAAGCCAGGTATCCTGATAGTCAAAGGCAGGCTGTCCTGGCCCTCGAATCTTCTGTTCAGATTGGTGCCAAAGTTTTTCTCAACACTCAGCGTCTGCAGCAGAAAAGCACACATCCTCACAACACCTTGCTTGGATGCGTCATTCTTGTACTCCAGAGCATAGAAAAGAGTGAGCACGACAAAATCATGGACCCGCTCAGTATCGATGATGAACGACCTGAATCTCTTGTTGCACTGAGTGATTTCCCAAAAGAGCATAATGATCTCTGGCGCAAATCTGGCATTGGTCTGCCCACTGGGAAGATACGAGCTCTTCTCATGGAGCGGCTGGTTGAGAATCCGTGTCATGCCATCGACGATGAACTGAAAGTCTTGTGGCCGATGGAGTCTGCCAAGGAAGTGGCGGTAATAGTTCTTGGGAGTCGTGCCGTTTTGCTCGGGAATTGGGTACAACAGGAACACTAGCAAAAGCTGGAGTGTGTATGTCACCAGTATCTGCTTCTCGTCCTTGAAGACCAGGGTATTGTATGGTACACGCCAGGTAGCTGGATTGTACTTGAGGGTCTACGTCTGTCAGCATGAAGCCAAGCGGTAGAGAATAAGATGCTTCGCATACAGTGTTGAGCAACGAGCACAAGACTGATAGCACGACCTGCTTATCGGGGCACGTGCAGATATGTGTCAAGGCTCGAATTCCTCTCTGCGGAAGCACGTTTGATGACATGTACATGCTCTGGCTGGTCATGGTAAGTAGCAGGCGGAGTATCTCGCTACGATTGCTCTCGAATTCTTTGGTGGTCGCCACTGATGTGTTGCAGCCTACACCACTCTGCCAGATGGCGTATGACACTTTCGGCCGCCCACTAGGCTGCCTCGGCAGAGTGAGGTCGGAGAAGAATAGTAAGTCGACCAAGGTGTCGATAAGCTCTTCGGCGAGGGGTTTGGCATCTTCGAAGTCTTCATTCTCGTTCTTGGGTGGTTTCTGGCCTTCCTGAGCCCCGTCAAACAGTACTTCGGCGGCAATCGCAGACTGCCTAGTTCTCTTTCTCCGCGCACCCCAGAAGAACCGCTCCTCCCATGCTGCAAGATTATCTGCCTCGTAGATGAAGGGAAGGATGCGCGTCAGGACGCGGACGCAATTGAGAGCATCGCGTTCGGGGGCGATTTCGGGATCGGGGAACGAAGGATGGTGGCGCAGGATGAACAGGCGTGATGTTAATGCAAGTATTAGAGTTTCTAAATTCTCTAGGGCCTTGTCTCGAGTGCGACGAATATCGGCGGGGGCGAAGAGGCTGAAGATATCCTCGGAGGATTCGGGAAGCTCCCAAAACTACACGTGCGGGCTGGGTCAGTATCACGGGCAAAGAGGACACCTCACGAGCTGACATACAGAAGTCCAGTAGGGATCATCGGCGGGAATGTGTCGCTCTTCAGAAAGCCTGAAGATGCCTTTCTTGAAGACAAGCTTCGAATCGCTGGCGCCCATGTTGTCACAGAGGGGGCATACTATCCGTCGAAATGTTTCTGACGGAAAGAAAGAAGCTTGGGAGGTCGACGGTTCAGTGTTCCAGACACCAGATTCCCAGAGGCGCACTGAGTGCTACGTAATGGCGGAAGAGCGGGTCGTGGATTGATGTTTGGCCAATGAAGGGGGAAGAGCGGGGTGGCAGTTCGCCGTACCTACTGTGTATCTCAAAAGTCCACGTCCCCGTTCCCGTTTCCCATTCTCCGTGCCAGACCTCCATGCCGAGGTACGTACCTCCCTTAACTTTAAGGACTTATGCACCTAAGGTAAGGTGCCTTCGAATTGGATAGCTCTTGAAGCTCATAAGCCTCGCCGAAACAACCAAGTCGCAGACTGCAATCATCTCTCTGATTCCTAGTACTTTTAGCTGGAGCTGCAGTTTCTCAATTCCTCCGACCCTCCGGATCGGCTATGCTTAGAATGCTGGCCTGTTGCCCGATCAGCTACCTTATCCTGAAGCTTGACACGTGAACAGACTGGAGCTACTGCAACCAAGTAAGGTACCTTAGGGACGCAATGATACAGGTCCTTTACTTCAGATTGAGACAGGACCCTTGAACTTCAGTTCCTCGATTGGTTTATATGACCCACACCGAAATTTATGTATAGTCTGGGGTCTTTTTGACTTTATTGTAGGGCATCTAGTCAGCCTTTGTCTCCACCCCATGAGAAACATTGCACCCAAACGCCTTTCGCGAGGTATCCATCCCACTGACTGAAGTCATTCATCTTCCAAATCCCCTCTAGACCCTGAGAGCACATTGCGCTGTCGTCGCCTAGTGCATCCAGGTACCGCCTGACGATCTCCTCCCTCTCTCGTAAAGCCACTTGTTGTTCAGTCCCACGCTGGTGCGCTTTCCGGCAGAGGGGCTTGGCGTTCCCGGATCAGGGAAGAGGGAAGATGCAGTGCTCGCTCCCAGGTTCGTAGAAGAGCCGAAGGATGATCTCCGGTTGCTGTTCAAGCTGGCCGAGAACTTGGAAGGGCTGTTGTGAAGGGGCGAAGGAGAGTAGGATTGTCCGTTTCCATTAAAGGAGCTCCCAAGAGCCGGGCTGCCTCTGCCGGAAAGGGGGGAGCCAGAGAAGCTTCGGTTGCTTGCAGGTGAACCTGCCAGCGAAGGTGTTCGCGAGTAACGTGGCGGGGTGCTGTAAACAGCATCGGGCGTGGCTGCTGCAGAACTGGGCGGCAGTCCAAGAAGTTGGCGCTGAGCTGGCGTTAGGGGAATGTCGGAAAGATCGTCGGCCGATCGGAGCAGAGGCAACATAGCCATGCCAATGTTGACCAGCGGAATGAGCTGGATCAGATAGTATGCCCAGCCCAGGTATGACCGCAAGGAGCTACTAAACCTGCTCAGATAGTTAGCAGTGGTCGCACTCGTAAAGTCACTGAAGGGCGTACCATTGTGTAGGAATGTATGAGCGTGACAAGATCTGGGACAACCAGAGACTGAGAAGAAAGCCAATGTTCAGAGCTATTCTTCTAACGTTCTTTTCGGAAAATGTCGTTGCGTTCCGCCGTCTTGTGATCTCATTCAGGCGTGGATGTCTCCATGTGCCAGGACTGTCGACAATAGGGGTGGGCTTTTGCGGCGTCGATCTGACGGGCGTGCTGACAGCAGCTCGGCTTGCCGACGAAGACATTGTTGCAGAAAAGACTGACGAGACTGAGAGGTGAGGTCGAGGAGGAACGTCGTCGTGCGGTGACCACAGTCAGGGTCAAAGCCTGTTGCGCAAGAGTTAGTTCCAGTAATTTGCAGGTCTACACATCCGTCCGTCATGGGCAATGCGACTTACTCTTCCGGCCGATTTCGCAAACCTGTTTTTTTGTTAGTAAAGGGTCTCTTAGACGCTGCGCTGTCGCCGAGCGCTCGCGTGCTTCAATGCGCCGCTTCAAGTCGGGTTGTCGATGGTGATGGATGCGGCAAGATACATTGGCTGCAGCATCTGGCAAAGCAGTGGCAGAAAAACAACACTCCAGCCACACGGACCACAGCAACCGGCAGGGAGCGGTCTGTTGCGAGGTGGATACCTGTGCTCCTGCCTAGTGGGGGATGTGGCTTGCTCTTGCCGTTTCTTAGGAGCAGGTAAGGTACGTACCACTCGCAGCTCACCTCAGGGTGCAATGGTCCCCTAAGTATCTCAAAGTACCTCGTCAAAGTGTCTTACATACCTTATGCCGCCGCGGATCGCTTGAGTCTTCTCGAGACGCGAGGCAGCCTTAGAAAGAGTACCTGAAGATACAGAGAAGTGCAGCTTTGAGGTCGGAAACACTTGGTCAGACTTTCCGCAGCTTAGGGACTCCCATGCTGACTACGCAGAAAGGCAGGCCGGCCGGAAACACGCAGTGTGCAAGCTGTCCGGCTGTTGGGGAATCCTGCACGCGGCACGAGTAAGGTACCTCACCCAGCTCGCTTTCGAGAAGCAGTCGCAACAGCGGAAGCCGGGGGGGACGTCAGATCCCCGCCGTTGACTGCCAGCACAACCCACCTCAAGGCTCAGCAACAAGAAACCTCCGAGCTCGAGCTCCGCGGCACTGCCTCACCTCATGCTTTTCCCTTTTGTTAACCCTCCGAGCTTTCCATGCGGGCCACGTAAAGCCTTTTGCCGTTTTGCTTCCACCAGCACTCATACTCCTCAACTGACGACGAACCCAGGAGCTCGACCCGTCTCGCATTACTCCTACCATCGCGCCGCCCAAGATGGGCTTCTTTGACAACATCATGCACCAGATGGACGAGGGCGTTTCGGGCTTCTTCGGACAATGGAACGTTTACACTACTGCCCTCGTCACTTTTCTCGTCGCCATCGTTACCTACCGAATCGTCTCTAGCCAGGATCCCGACACCCATCCCATGCTGCTTGCCCGTCAAGCCCAAGGCTCTCCTGTCCGCCAACCAGCTGAATCTCCCGTCTACCGATCCCATTCTGCCCCTCATGGCATGCCCCTGAACAGCGGACTCAACGTTAAGGACCCCGGTGCTTCGAAGTGGGCGAGAGGACGTGACGGAGATCTTCGGGATATCTGGAGGAGAGCGGCGACTGGCGCCTCGGAGGAAGGCAAGCCTGTTGTAGGCAAGGGCCGCTTGTTGACGGTACTGGGCTCCGAGAACGTTATCGAGCACCAACTTGGTGAGTACCCTTCTTTTGCGCCGTGATCAACTTCTCTAATGTCGCGCAGATGACATCACTCGTCAAATCAACCTCATCGGACAACACATTCACGAGCAGGGCGGCATCCGAGTCGCCGTTTACCTGCCAAACTCTATCGAGCTTTTGGTGACGCTTTTCGCCTGCAGTTTCTACCCGAACCTCACAGCCATCCTGATCCCATTTGATGTGTCAGACGAGGAACTTGTAATGATGCTCCGCCGTTCTGCCGCCGATACCGTTATAACAGCCCCTGGCGCGTTCCCCTTCGACTCGGTCGTCAAGGCGTACCCCGCACTCCGCCAACTCATCTGGGTTGTAGATGAGGGAAGTTCCCACATGGACTGGAATGAAGTTCCCGAAGGCATGGGCGGCAGTGTCAACGTTGCGACATGGCAAGAGATCCTCCGTGATGCGCCAGTCGATGCCGCGAGAGAGGTGCCCCCCGTTGACAAGGAAATTGAACCGAAGGACGTGGTGACTTTCTGGCAATCCAAGCCTGGAACCATGGAAGAGATGGTGCGCTTCACTCAGTCCAACTTGGTTGCCGGTGTTGCCGCCCAACTCGCCGCGATCCCAACTACCCAACGCCTCAGTCCCTCCGATCTGTTCCTCCCTGCCGACTCTCTCACAAACATCCACACATTAATTCTCACATTGGCTGCCCTGTTCTCCAACTCCTCTGTGGCCCTCAACTCAGTGGCTGGAAAGGTCACGGACTTGGCTCTGGCTACCCAGGGAGTTGCTCCTACAGTATTGGTGTCCACTCCCGAGACTCTGTTGAAGACCCACCAGGAGGCTACTAACCGCCTGACCTCTGCTTTGGCCAAGGTTGCTCACTGGGCCCAGTCTCGCAGTCTCACAGAGAGTGGTGTGATGCCCGTTGCATCCGCCGCGGCTCGTTTCAACAGCGCATCTCGACCAGCCATCGGCAAGACTCCTGGAAAGCTGCGTCTTCTTTACGTCGCGGATAGGGTCGGTGCTGGCTCGCCGCCTTTGTCGTCACGAGAACTTTCCGATCTTCGCATTTTCACAGGCGCCAGGGTCATCTATGCTTTGGCCGCACCCAAGGTCGCCGGAGCCGTCGCGCAGACTGGTTACTACGATTATAGAGTACATGAGGATAAGCAGTCGCACTTCGGTCCTCCCCTGACGAGCACTGAGATCCTATTGAGAGACACGGCCGAGTATAAGAATGCCGATCAGGAATATCAGGGAGAGGTGAGCTTGATGGTCTTTCAAATCTTGGTCACACAACTAACGCTGCAATCCAGATCATTGTTCGAGGTCCTTGTGTTGCAGGCAATGAGGCCACCATCAAGGCTACAGGCAAGATCCGGGATGACAACACGTTGGCATATGTATAGAAATATTCGTGTACAAAGCCTCCTTGATATGTAGCTGAGCCCATGGATGTGGGACAGACACAATCTGATTCATATTTTCACATCTCATCCTTTATCAAAGGATTCCTCGCATCTTCCATTTAAACGGTCTTTTATGTGCGCATTTGGTTCTGCCAAGGAATGATCTACTGCCGGTGAATCGCTTTATCTTGCTGCCGATGTGGCCGACACCAGATCCTTCGATATCATGCATCATTCACGTGGCTCGTGGCACACTACTGTCCTCACTGCCAGCATGCTTGAGCTTTATTCAGTCTTAACGCTCGAAGGCGGGCATCTACAGATCCGGCCAAATCAGCGACGGTGACGCTCTAGATTACTTGCTAAGATGACGCTTTTGCCCTTCTTTGCAATGAGTTAACTTTAATGCTCATCCTCACCGTGCGCAGTGCAACAAGCTACCACCAAGCCAAGGATGTAGAGAAATGCGTAGAAAACCACATCAATACTTACACAGCTTCTAGTAGCTACTTGACTGCCCTAGCAGGCAAAATAAAAAATGGAGAAGTAGACGAAAATTGCAAAAGCTCAGCTCCCTATAGGGAGCCTACGAAAGATCCGAGGAGACTCTTACCAGCCTCAAGTGTAACGGGACAAGGATTTTTACTAGAACAAGACGGGACTCGAACCCGGGACCCATGGGTGCGGAGCTATTCGAACTCAGGTAGGACATTCTCCGCTACGTCACGGGCCTTGGTGATAGTAACAAGCAAATTTATTTCTTATAGAGGGTATCGAGGCGGCGACGGGCGGTGTGTGTGTATGTGTAAGTGAACCTGAGGCTGTTACTCAACAAGTCACGCGACCCCCGTCTCATCTCATCTTCTTTCCAAGGTCGAGTGGAGAACATGCTGCCTCATCAAGGAGATGAATACGAGGGCGAGGATGGACAGCCCGAGCATTGTGTACCAGACGCTGCCGAAGGCCTCCCGGAAAGAGTCAATCACTCCCGGCTTCCACCCGGGCGGGAGGTTCTTGAGCTCGTCGAGGTCGTCTCTGATGCGGCCGATGATCTCGGCGGCGTTGGGGTAGTCGCCGAAGCGTTCCCATAGCTTGACTCTCAGCACGTTCTGGTAGACGGCGGAACCGATGGTGATGCCGATGGTGCCCCCGAGACTGCGGGCCAGGTCTATAAATTTCATTAGTCTATGCGGATGGCTTTCCACATAACCCAGGATGACTTACATGTTGCTGACGTGATGACTGCTTGCTGCGAATGGTCGACAGCAGCAATGCAGCCGAGCAGCGTAATGGTCAACATGGCTCCGTAGCCTCCGCCCACCAAAAAGAAGACAACATAGTTGACCCATGCGGGCGTGTTCTCGTTGAACTGCGTGAGGATGATGATGCCGGTGTTGAAGAGAACCAGGGCGCTGATTCCTGGGATCACGTATTTCCCGGTCCGCTTCATGATGTAGCCGGCGCCGACAGACATGATGGAGACGCCTAGTGGTGACGTCAAGATCCGGAGGCCCGCTTGCGTAGCCGAAAGCCCGTTGACCTGGAGGTAAAGCGGCACGTAAAAGATGGCCATCATCATGACCATGGTACACAGCAGGTTGGTCAGGCAGGCAGCGAGGATGGTGCGGTTCGCGAGCAGGCGGACGGGGATGATGGGCTGCTTGACCCTGCTCTCCCAGACGATGAAGCCGATGAAGGCCACGACGGAGAGGGGGATCGTGGTGAGCGGGAGGGGGTGAACCCAGGGAACTAGGTTCCCGCCTGCGTTGAGGCCGAGGAGGAGGAGTACGAGGAAGGATATGGTCAGGAAGACGCCGAAGAAGTCGATGCGCGCCAGGTAGGACTTGTCCGAGGCCTTGGGCGGGACCTTTACGAGGACGGCGACGAGGACGGCAGAGACGAGGACGGGGGGCACCTGGACGAGGAAGGCGAGGCGCCAGCCCATTGCAGTGTGGTCGTTGATGAGGCCGCCGAAGACGCCGCCGAGCATAGCGCCTGAGCCGTAGGCGATGTTGCCGATGCCCTGGTAGACGCCCCTCTGCCTCAGGGGGATGAGATCGGAGCCGAGAAAGGTGGAGATGGACATGAGCCCTCCGCCGCCGACGCCGGCCACGACGCGGCCAAAGATCATGACGGACTCGGTGCGAGCGAGGCCGCAGATGAGGTTGCCGGCCGCGAAGAAGAGGTTGCTGAAGACGAGGCCGGGACCGCGGCCAAATATGTCGGTCAGTCTGCCCGAGATGGGCTGGCAGGCGGCATTGGAGATGAGGTAGGCCGTGGCGAGCCAGCTCATGAGACTCAGGGACTTGAACTCGCTCGAGATGGGGCCGGAGAGGGTGGCGATGATTGTACTGTCGATGGCGCCGAGGAAGACGCCAAAATAGGAGGTGCCCAGGATGAGGGCTAGGCGGGTGCCGGAGACGGTCTCGGCGACGATGGTGGTCTCGTCGTCGTTGGCGGCGGCCGCGGTAGCGGTGCCATTGCTGGCGGTGTTGATGGTTCCGTTGAGCAGCGGTGTCGTTTCGGAGCTCTGCTCAGTGGCGGCCGGATGGCGCGTTTGCTCCTCGTCTGCCGTCATGTTTGATGGTGATGTTCTCCCCCCTCTGCTTCGGCTTCCAACCTAGGTTTCCCTTTACTGCCTTGACCGGTGCGGAGTTGAGCCCTTGAGAGTCATTCGTCAACGTCGCTGTCGATGTCTCGAAGGTGTAAATGACGTTCGTCCTATCAGGTCAATGCTTTTTCGTATTATCTGGATAAGCTTTCCGGCTTGTGTCTTATGTAATCTGAACGCTCCCGGAAACAGAATGTCATTGCTGAAGAAGATTCACAGTGACGAAACAGACAGCAGTTCCCCGGACCCCGAATCTCGGCGTGCGCCCCCTGGCAGCTGTGCCCGGCCGTCTGTCCGCAAAAGGCAACTGTGCAGCACGTCGAAGGCGGGCCGCCGGGCACTCTGGGTCTTGAGAGTCAGCACAGAGATAGACACGGCAGAGATGGAGAGATGTCAGCCACAAATGTATACGATAAGATGGGCGCTGACGCTGGAAGAAGTCTGCAGAAGAAGAGCGTAGAGGACGCCACATAGTAATCAGCCCCGGCTAATCTTCATTGAGTCTTGCCCAACGGCCCAAAGACCCTTCCACCGAAGAGTTTATTGGGTAAGTAATTCCCGAAGCATTGCGTATGCCTTCCTTATCTTACCCACCAGCGACACAACCTTGCAATCACGTCACTGCCGATGTCGGTGTGCCCTGTCGCTCCCTGTGCGGTGCGCCCTTGGGTTCTTTCCTTAACTTGGCCTCACTTCCTCCATCTTCATCTTGGCGCTGGGATGAGGGACCTATGTGATTCGACTCGACATTGGGAGGAGAAGAGAAAACAGAAATCGGATTGGCTGCATTATACCCAACGCTCATGATGCTCCCTTCAATCAAGGGCCTCGAAAGCATCTCACGACGGGCGGGGTTTGGAAACGGAAAACGACTCTGACATGCCGGATAACTCACCTTCAAATCACGGCAAAACGAGATCGATAAGCGAGCGAGCACGCCTAGATCGAAATGGTCCAGCAGCCCAGGTACGAGGTGGATCTCATTCTTCTTTCTTCTCTGCGCCAGTGTGGTATGCGCCGCCTATTTGGCCTTGAAAATGCGTATTGGAAAGAAGAAAATGAAATGTATGGTAGAAACGGATCCTGTTCGTTTTGCCGCATGTTGTAATGGTTTCTACTGAGGCCGCCGGAAAATGGCCTCAAATTTCCTCTCATCTCCACTTGACCATGTCCGGTGGTGTCTGACCGCAGCCAAACTGCCCATCAAAGGATCAAAACCAAGACATGAGGACTCTCACGCCGAACAAGTATTCGGCGTGGGAAAATGGCCTCAAATCGTTCCAATTCTCCATTTCGATGAGGCTTCTTCGAAATGATGTTCTTATTTAAGCAGACTTGACCAGTGTCTCTCACCTCACTTCTCACTCACTCACTCGGCATCACCACTCCTTCTCACCTCAAACTTGCTCATCACTCTCATTCTCATATAATCCATACGTCAAAAATGGCGTCCTCCGATATCCTGTCTCAGACTCTTCACACCATCACAAGTGTGAAGCTCAACCAGTTGGATAAGCAGAAGGCTTCATATGAGTCGGGAAAGCGAGCCCTGCTAGACGATGCGGCCTATGAGATGGACAGTCGGAAAAGGGCGAAGCTCTTGGTTGATCGGGTCGAGAGGCTTCCTGCCATGGCACCCGTGGACGATGGCTCACTACTATCCATCGAAAATCTCAAGCGATTCGTTCAGCAAGCCGAATTTGACCCATGCGTTTCCGACGACTTCCTCCACGACTATGAGAACAGCGTACGCAACGAACTCGACGTTCAGTCGGCAAAATACCGATACGCCGAACTCTACGGCAAACTCGTCAACGAATGGATTTCTGCCGGGAAGGCTGCTGGCCAGGGAGCCGAGTCAGGGTTCGTCCCCGTGGGCAGGGAGGAGATGCACCAACAGCGAGCGACGTGGGAGCGCTACGTTTTCCATGCCAAGGAGACGAATAGCCAGGCCATCAAAAGCTATCTTGAGAGCCTCTTCATCTCACCCTCCAAGGACATTCACCGGGCATATCTGGAACTGAAAGAGAACGTCAAGAAGTTTCAGGACACGTGGGACGACAAGACGCATTTTGACGAGGACTCCCTGATGAACACCATCCGCGGCCTCCTCCGGACAGACACCCTCACGGACCAGAAGAGGACAACGCTCAATGACTTTCTCAACAACAAGGTCGTTCTGTGCGAGATCGCCGATGTGCTGAACATGCGGATGCAAACCCGGCAGAACTGGGCCTGGGATGGCGCGACTGAGGTCGACGTGCGACGGCAACTCAACGGACGCTACCGATTCTACCCCGACGACGACCTCCTGCAGGCCATCTTCATTCACCATATCGGCAAGCTGTGGGCCGTCAAGATACGCGGGTTCCTCGTCACATTTCTCGAAAGCGCAGGCGTGGAAAAGGATGCGACGAAGCCCATGAGCAAGGAAGATGTTCGCCGCCAACGATTTTTCCTGAAAAAGGGGCCACGCATTGAAAGCCCCGTTTCGGTGGAGAAGAAGCTCAAACAGCACTTCAAGTCGGAGATCCTGCTGGATCAGTTGCCGCAGACCTTGGCGGAGGAGCGAGGCGGCTACGGCTCGGACGGAAAGGAGAAGAAAGGCGACAGCCGCAAGTCGCACGTCGCCGTCGTGCAGAACCTCTTGCACCTTGTCCAGTCCGAAATCATCATGCAGACGCGGCTCGGGAGCGACGTGACCGTCATCCGGTCCGACCTGAAGTGGTTCGGCCCTAGCGTGCCGCACTCGTCCATCTTCGCCGTGCTCGAATTCTTCGGCGTCAACGACGAGTGGACCGGCCTCTTCAGGCGGATGCTCGAGTGCCCTTTACGCTTCAGCGACGACCCGTCGGACGCGTCGCCCCAAGTACGGAGGAGAGGCACGCCCCTGAGCACGCCCCTGGCGGATTTCATTGCCGAGACTATGCTCTTCTGCATGGACTTTGCCGTCAACCAACGAGCCGATGGTTGCCGCCTCTACCGGCTGCACGACGACATGTGGCTATGGGGCGGTCTCGAGACCTGCACCCGGGCGTGGGAGACGATGACCGAGTTTGTCAACCTCACAGGGCTGGAGATCAACTGGGACAAGACGGGAAGCGTCAGGGTCGCCGCCGCCGCCGCCGCGCCCCCGGTAGCCGGGTCGAACCAACACCATCAGCAACAGCAACAGTCCAGGCCTCCGGGTACGGGTGCTACAACGACGGCACGGGGTCGTCTGCCATCAGGCGATGTCGTGTGGGGATTTCTCAAGCTCGATCCGACGTCTGGGCGTTTCCTCCTGGACCAGGACAAGATTGACGTGCACATTGACGAGCTGCGGCTGCAGCTGGAGGCGTGCAGCAGCATCTTTGACTGGATCCAGGCGTGGAACATTTACGGCGCTCGCTTCTTCAAGACCAACTGCGCCCAGCTCGCCAACTGCTACTCCCGGCAGCACGTGGACAGCATGCTAGCGACGTTCCACCGCATCCAGGAGAGGCTGTTTGGCGCTGGCGGGGCCGGGGCGCACCTGAAGCGGCTCATTGGCGACCGGTTCGGCGTCGAGGACATCCCTGACGGTTACTTATACTTCCCCGTTTCCCTGGGCGGCCTGGGACTCCAGAACCCCTTTATACACCTCTACCTGATCCGCGACGACGTCATCGAGGACCCGGACGACATCATGGACGACTTTCTGGCAGAGGAGGAGGCAGAGTACAGGTTCAAGAAGGCGGCCTACGAGGAAGACACTGAGGGGGCCGGCGGCGGCGGCAGCGGGCCTGGTAGCAGCCTCGACATCTCCGGGGCCCGACACCACGCGCCGTGGCTTCTCGCGGACGACTACAGAGACCTACGGGACCAGCCGTTCATGAGCTACGAGGAGTTCTCGCGGCACCGGAGGCGCACGTCACCGGCGTTGAGCCGGGCTCTCGACAGGCTGCGGCACACGCCGGCCACCAAGGCGATTGAGCTCAGGGGCGAGGTCGAGGCCGCGCTTAAGACCACGCCGGCGGGCTGGTATGGGCTCAGCGGCTACGAGCAGTGGGTGTGCGGGCTCTACGGCAAGGACATGGTCGCGCGGTTCGGCAGCCTGGTTGTCGTGGACAAGGGGGTTTTGCCCACAGGGCTGTTGGACATGTTGAGGCAGAGCCGGTTCAAGTGGCGCGGCTGAAGGGATGGAAGAAGACGAGAAAGAAAAAGACGAGGATAGCAGGATAGGGGAAAGCGGGGGGTGCGCTCTGTGCGATGGATGGGATGGAGAGGCGCGGAAATTGGATGTTGAAAAGAATAGCCGCGATGGGGCCTATCCTAGTCTCCGTTTCTAGAACAACGGGCAGAAAAGTATCTCGGGCAAGTCGCGTGATCATCGGGGACTCGGGCGCGGCAAAAACATGAAAAATCACACATCGGATACCCTGGGAGGGCAGTGAAAGTGTAAGAATAGCTTAAATTGGGTTTTCGGTCAAGTTGGACCGGATATTGGCCTCGTTCATTACTCGTGGAAATAGATGAAATGCGAGAAACTCACCCTGAATCGCTGAATCGCAAAACGGCTATGAATTGGTCCAGAATTGCCACTAAAAGGATTAAAGCTCCCACCCCCGGCCGGCACCCTTGTCCCTTGCCGGGAAAAAGTCTTGTTCAAAAGAAGGCACAAACCGAGGTAAGTATAATAGAGTAAGTGTATGGATAGGCATAGCACGATGATGGGCCGGGACATGGATATCACAAAACTTTGACATATGGAGCCTCACTTTCCCACTCTCTTACACACCCCTTTGCCAAGCAAAAGGGTCCTCGGTTCGTGTTGCCTTGGCATTTAGTAGTGTAAACGCTCCTCCGCTTCCCCCGATCTCGACTCTGCTATGTTCTCCTTGCTATCTCGTCTTACACACACCCTTCTCTTTTTCCATCTGCCGCTCGCTCACCCCTGGTCTAGCTGCCCGACTTCTGTACTATACACAGTAACTTACAAAGTCACGATGGTGGATCCATGCATTGCTTTTTGCGTGCTTTCTTCTTGTTTGCTAACCGCGGTTGAAGAATGGTAGCCAAGGTGGCTTGCGGCACGATGCGGGCGCGAGGGTATATACATGGTGGATAAGGCACGGCAATGAACATGCGCCTCCAGGTAGTGGAAGTCTTCAAGTGTTCGATTTTGTCGGTGTTAGAAATGGCGTCATTGCGGCACTTGGTCAAGAGGGAATCGTGTGTAAACTAGCAGCCTCTCGTGTACCATGACAAATGAGTTCGCCGCAGTAGATTCCTGCCAGTCATCAACGGCGAAGGTGCAGACGAACCACCTGAGCTGATTCGACGACATCAGATGATCTCAAGATGACCATAGACCCGATGAGCCTCGAAAGAGTAGGTAGCTCATGACGGCTGTGTTGGGGGTTGGGTGAGGTCATTTCAAGTCAGGTCAGTTCAGGTCGAGGGGGAGGGTAAGTGAGGGTGAGAGTGAGAGTGAGAGTAAAAGACCCCCACGCGTCCCGTCATCTCACTTCTTCGCCAAGTCGCCGTCATGAACGATGGATGGGGGGGAACTCGACTATCCGCAAGACTAATTCACAAAGGTCAACATCAAAAGTCGACATTTAAATCGCTATCTACAATATCTCATTTCGATTCCCCAGAGACACCAGCAGATGGCTCGTGCTATCTCCAGTGTCCTTTTGTTCGTTGCAAGCGGCCGCCTAGTAGGTATCCGTACGGATACGCAGTAGCTCCCTCCTCTCGTCTACTTTTTTGGTTCCCGCAAAAGGTCTCTGCATATTCGCAGGTCACACACCCCCGGTACGTTCTACTAGACGAGTGCTCCTCCGTACGGAGTAGTGTACATAGGCGAGCAGACAGAACGGCCAGGCGCGGACATGGGTTGAAAGTATGGGACCCGAGGTAGTGTAGTGTACATAGGTGAGAGCGTGTCAGTACGGATAGAGCAGTGAGCATGTACCAAGTTTAAGCTTGTTAGTGCGTGCTTTAGGCCAGGTCAGGCAGAGTAGTCAATATGGATTAAGGTGTCTTTTGACTCTGCGACTCTGTCTCCATCTTCGCGCAAGGCAAGGTGCAGCTTGCGTCCGAACTTTCTGACTCTCTCACTTTCTCTCTGCCTTGCTGAAGCTCCTGTGCAGCGAGTACCGAGGAGGGAGCAGTGTAAATGGGGTCCTTCCCCGTTGCCACCGCCTCGAGTTCCCCTGCCACATCTTCCTGCGCAGTGTCTGGCTCGGCTGGGGTTGTCGTCCTTCTCTCTCTTTCACTCTCGAGTCTTGTCTGTGTGTCGGTCAGCTTCCCCTGGTCGAATCTCCACGGCTGAACCAGTAACCAGTGAGCCACTGAATGAGTGATAGTGAGTGAGCGAGTGGCCGGCCGGGCATTCTCTCTCTCTCTCTTTTCGGGGCTCTCTCCACTCTTTGCCATCTCACAAACTCCCTGGTTCGGGCCTTGTGGATGTTCCTCCTCTCTTCCAATCCATGAGTTCCAGGCCCCCTTTCCTTGTACGGATACCCTGTGCCTGTCCACGAAAGACACCCCCTGAGCCTTGCCAGAGAAGAAACCCATGCGTCGCCAGATCGGAGAGAGAGAGAGAGAGTGTGTGTGTGTGTGTGATGGTGTGCGGTGCCACAAACGCCCGTGCCAGTCCCGCGTTCCCTCTTGTCCAGTTCTGTCGTGAATTCCAGCCAGTCATGAGCCCGGCCGGAATTTCTTGGCCCGAACGTCCCTTATCACCCCCACACCTTGGGAACTTTTTTGGCTCGGGTGGATTCAAATCGTCAACGCTTCTTCCCCAGGCATTATGCGGGATCCTTGATCCTTGCCTCTCCGTCTGTTCTCCATCCTGGTCCTAGTTCATCCTGCCAGCCAGTCTGCTTTTACCCCGATGCCCATGATCCGTCCGTTCCCCTCCTCTCTGTCTCAGTGTAGTGCTGTCTATTGGGGCTGTTATGTGGCTGTCAATAAAGTAGTAGAGTAAAGCAAAACTAATGCGTCTACACTACATCTCCATCCTTCCTCCTCCTCCGTCATCGTCCTTCAACTACCCGCTCTCCGCAGCATGCGAGTGGAAGCAGTTTGCAGCTCTTGAAGCTATGAGAGCAGTGGGCATCCTTCGTCCCTGCAACGGTGACCTCCTCCCTCCTCCCCCTTGGACCCCTTCGACAAGGTCCAACGTTTTTGCTGGCTGGGCTTGGGGCAAGCAAGAATATCGAACCTCTCCAAGTTCTCAGTGCCTCTAGTGCCGCACATCAAATACAACAAACCGGACGGCACTCCAGCCCGTCGATTTTGCTTGGCTCGGTCTGGAGCAACCGAGCTGACAAGGATCGTGAATGCCATATTCGTAGTGCATACGGAGTACAGGATAGTTACGGGGCCAGGAACGATTCAGACTGACTCTGCCCTTTGCTTTCTCATTTTCTTCGGTCTCTCCCTCTCGCGATATCTCTCTCTCTCTCTCCATATCGCCATCGGCCTCCTCCGGTCCCAACTAATGCTGCACGGTCATCATTCCATGCTTCCACAGATCCGAGTATTTTCGCACAGACGGAGGACAACACAATTAAGCAGCCCATCAACCACTTTGCCGTGATTAAACCATGGAGAAAAAAACGAGGCACGGATAAAGTATACCGCGTTCTCTAACCCCCCCCCCCCTTGCTCTAGTCCTCAGGCACATGGGTGATGGGATCGCGCCGCCCACATGCGCCTCCCGCTCCAAACGGCGCTTGGAGCGATTGCGACTGGACAGAGACCAGGTCCCCTAGGACAAGGTGGTGGATCTGGGCTTTGGTCGAAGCCGTACAAGTCTTGGACCGGGGCAGAGCGGGAGGGCAAATACCTGGGTACCTTACTCTCCTCCACACCCCCTTAGTCTATTCCCATCTCACCCCTATCTCCGTAGTGTACACTACACTCCCCTCGTTCATTCGCACCCCCCTCCCCTCACCACTCAGCTTGCACCTGCGTTCTACACAGCTCAACGCAATGAGACGCTGGAAAATGATGGCAAGTGCTCCGTGGAATAGAAGTATACTGGGAAACTGGACCCTGAGTTGGAGTTGAAGTTGAAGGGTGAGTGAGGAGGATCCGCCGCGCCGCGGCCTGGCGGTTGTTTCGGTACCGCAACGCAGGTACCATCGTGATAGAGCACGCCATCACACAACCCCATCGGCCTCGTCCTTTGAGTGCTGTTGACTTTGGCGACTTGAGCTTCTTGTGAGAGAGTGCTGCTCAGTGAGAGGTAATTGTCAGTAGTAGAAGCCTCTTGAAGAATAGGATATTGGCAAGATTAAATTGTGCGTGGACTATGTTCGCCTTCTCATGGTGTTTGTATTCTGGAAGCTATCTCCATCAGACTTTCCCAAGTCATCCCCATTTCCATGTAATCAGCCAATCTTGAGGCTTACACGTCCAAGAGACGACCCTATTTGCCTCCTAGTTCCCTTGAAATAACGCCGCATCATAAGTATGTATGCCCACAAAGTCGTCGTAGTTTGCTATTGTACAGGTTTACAGATCAGATAGACCACATCACCACCGCCGCCACCCTCTCTCATCTCATCAGTCGTGACTTCCAAGCCCAGCTTGCAGGCTGGAGCAAGAGGGAAAAAGAAAACACATTCGCTCACTCCGACTTCTCTCTCTCTCTTTTGCGCGTGACTCGTGGTCGTGCTTCCCGAAGTTCCCCTTGCTCGCTCTTTTTTTGGTGTTCCCTTTTTCACTTCCCCTGCAAAAACTCCTTGGTGATCCATCCAGCTCCGCAAGGCGAAGCGAGCTGCAGCAAAGTTGCAGCAAAGTAAAAAAGACACACACACACTCTTAAAACATGATCCACTCCACCTCAACACCGGGACCCCCGATGCACCTGGTCCAGTTGAACGGACCCCGGCGCATCGCCTCGAGCTTGACGGCCGCCGGGCTCCGAGGCTCGTTGTCCTTCCACTCGCCCGCCCACAGCCTCTCCAGAACATCGAGCGCGGCCAGGTTGTTCATGTAGCCCGAGCGCGCCATGATGTCGCGGCACTTGCTGCGGACAATGTTCTGCTGGAGCTCGTTGACGCACTCGCTGCCCGCGACGAAGAGCGGCCACAGGAGGAACTTCTCCGCCTGGCTACCCGCCTCCAGGCTCGTGGCGTAGTAGACCACCTGCGAGACCAGGTTCTGGAAGTTGCT